GTGTCACCAGTCAATGGGAGGTGACAGAGGCGTAGGGAAGTGGGAGCTCTCATATACCACCTGGTAGACGTGTAAGGGGATGTACCCTTTTTTTGGAGGGTAATTAGGCAGGTTTGTTCATCTTTTAAACAAATATTTGAATCTCACCAACATGCCAATCATGGAGTAGGGGAGATCAACCATTTTCTATCAAAATTTTAAATGCCCCCATCCTTTGACCTGACCAGGAATTTGCTGTGTGCAGACAGATGTGCACTGCCGTCCTGAGAGAACTGTCAACAACTGGATCAAAGTCATCACTAACACCTCTTGGGTGAGCCGCACTGCAGAAGACTATGCAGCTGCTGAGAACGCAACATGCCTGCTGGCCTGCAGTTACAGACGTAAAAAAGAAGGCCCAGATCTATGGTCAAGTGAAAACTGGCAAGTTAGACTAGAGATCCCTGACCACCTAAAATCAACAACCCAAACCAAATGAGTTGGAATTGACTCGATGGCAATGGGTTTTAACAGGGAGGAGGGTGAGATTGGGTTGGGGGGTAAAGAGAAACTTTCACTTTTTATTTTATTAGAATTAACCATAAGAAATTGCCATTTTGTGGTGAATTGAGTTGTGAATGAAGTATTTGGGGTGGGGGTAGAGAGAGCACAAGAGAGAGACGCCCATCACTGAACCTGGGGGTGGTCTTGGGGATTCCCGACACAGTGCCTTCCTTAAAGCTCTTCTTTGGCTCCCCACTACTCTTAAAAATAGAAACCAAAGGGCCTCTGCCTGCCCACCTGACCTCATCTCTCTTCTCTTTCCACTCTGGCCACGCTGCCTCCACTCAGCCTTTTCTCCCCTGCAGGTTCCTCCCACCACAGGGCCTTTGCACATGCGGTTTCCTCTGCCTGGAATGTCCCTCCCCCTTTCAGTTTGTCATTTATCTTCTTTGCCTCCTTCAGGTCTCCCTCTAGCATCCCTGCTCAGGGAAACCTTCCTGAGCCCTGACCAGGCAGGTACCTCCCCACTTCCTCTGGAGAAGTGAATCCCTTGAGCAAATCTCTCCTCTGGAAGAGGTTGGGGGCTGAGTGCTTGCCTCTATGAGGTGAGAGGAAGGCAGGCAACAAGGTCACCTACCCCGGCACCTCTCTTCCCCCGACCCCCTGGGGATCTGTGTTCTGAGGAATGCCTATTTTTAAAATCAAGGAAGTCTTTAAATAAGTGTAGAAGCTTTTCCTTCTCTAGGGTGGGGAGGAAGTTTGAGGTTTACAAAAGCAACCACCGCAACGGCAGACCAGGTTGGGTGGGAGGGGGTGCTCAGGGGCTGAGGAGCTTGATGGGGACTGGCAACTTAGCCTCGTAGTCAGGGACCTCCTAAAGCTGGGCTCTCCACCTGTCTCCTCCTTTCCTGTGGGTCAGGACCCCTCCTTACTTGATAGACAACTTGCAACCTGGCAAGATGATTGTGAGGCTGGGTGCCCACAACAAGGGAAATAATATTTACGGTAGCAGAAATCGTAATAAGAGTACCTATTCACAGGGCACGTGCTATTTCCTGAGCTCTATGCAAAGCCCTTTAATATAACATATGGCCCCCAAGAACCTCACAGCAACCCCATGAGGTGGAGACTGAACCGTCTCCATTTACAGATGAGGAAAACTAGGTACAGAGAGGCTACATAACTTGCCCAAGGTCACACAGCCAATGAGAGACAGAGCTGGGCTTCCAACACAGGCTGCTGGCCCAGAGCCAGCTCCTCCCGTACTATCTCTCAACCTTTCGCGACCTCTCCAGAATAGTGCCCGGCCCAATGCCCGGCTCACAGCTAAGCAAATCCAGGGCTGGGCAGAGGGTACAGGGCAGTACAGGCAGTCCCCGACTTACGATGTACTTGAGTTACAATGAACTGCACTTACGATCATCTTTTTCTTTGTACATGTTATCATTAGTAATATGTACTACATACAATGTTGCAGCGCATAATTTGTCGATGTTATCATTCTTAGATGTTCACTCACAGATGTTCAATGTTATGCTTTATAAAGATACTGATAATAGAAGGCAATAATAATGAAAACTTAAAAAAAAAATAAGGCATTCAATTTATGTTAGAACCAACTTACGATGGAGTGGTCAGAATGGAATCCTGTGGTAAGTTGGGGACTACCTGTATTTTGCAATAAGAAATACAATTTACATCTGCCTCTTAGTAAACCCTTAGATATATGCATTCTATAACTGACACTAAAGTTACCATGCGCAATATGCTCTTACGTTTTCCATTTTATTCTAGTTCATTTCTTAAAAGGCTGGTTGCAACCCATTAAATGGAGTTCATACCCCCTAATGGGTCCAGACCTCTAGTCTGAAAGACACAGGTATGGGGTGCACATGCCCTGCCTATTTCCCTGGGGAAGGGGAAAATGATGACTATCAGAGACATGACATCCTGTCCAACTTCTGTGACATCTGTCATGTCGACTGGGAAGCATAAGTCCTGGCGCGATTTGCTTTATGAAAGCATAAAAATAAAAAATTAGTTGTCCAGGTAGAAATTAAGACCCGTCACTAGCATAACTACATCATCTGTGCCACCCTCCCCCCAAATGTCTGTTATACTTCAGCCACGCAAAGGTCGAGATAAAGAGTTAGGTGCACCCCCTACCCTGCCTCACCAGGCGGTGGTCCGCAGCAGGAGGCCCTGACCAGTCTAACTAATGGCCCTTGGCTCTGGCTGCACACTGGAATCACCTGGAAGCTTTAAACCATACAGATGCCTGGGTCGCACATGCAGAGATTCTGACTGAATTAGTCTGATGTAGCCTGGTGTAGAAACTGCTCTATTTCAGTGCTGTAAATGAACCATGGCTGCCACCCAGAGCCTCCAGGCACCTCCTGAGAAAGAAGTCAAAGCGCTCCATGGGTGTCTAAGCACATCCCTGGCTCCCAAGTCCCCAGATGTGGCTGGTAAGATGCAGTCATCTGAGATGGGGGAGAAGGGCAGCTGATGGGCTAAGAAGCCAGTTTATCCTATGGCAGAGCCAAGGCCAGCACACCTGGGTTTTTAGGGTTTCCTGTGGCCAGGCACCCTGCTAAGTGCTTCCCAGGCATGATCTTGGTTAATCCTTACCACAGCCCCATGAGGTAGCATTACTGTTCCCATTTTACTTTACAGAAGAGGAAAACTAAGGCTCAGAGAGGTCGATGTTCATTATTCACAGATTCCATATTTGCAAATGTGCTTGCTCCCTATGCCAGTGCCTGGCACACCGCTGGTGTTCAAGAAACATTTGTCAGGTGAGTGAATGAATGAGGGAAGGAGTTCCCAAGCTTGCACTGCCCAAGTCCTTCCAGAGTGCCTTGCTGTCCCCTGCTCCCTGCTCCCCTCCTACACACACTGGACCGTTCCTTGGGCTCTTCCCCCGGGAGACTTATCCTGACTCTGAAATGGATCACGTCTGAAAAGTGCACAGGGCAGAACCACAGAGTGATTCAGGGCATGGGAGCCAGCTAGGATGGATTTGAACCTCTCACCAGTTGTGGGACCTTGGGCAAGTTGCTAAACCTCGCTGTACCTCAGTTTGCCTATCTGTAAATTCACAGGGTTGTTGTGAGGGTTAAAAAACCAATGCACGGACAATCCTGAGCACATGCCTGGCACAGAGTAAGTGCTCAACAGATGTTAGCTGTTGTTGTTGCTGTTATTATTGCTACTACAACCATATTAGGAGTCCCCGGGTGGCACAAACAGATGAGCCCTCAACTACTAACCGAAAGCTTGGTGGTTCGAACCCACAGAGAGAAACACTTTCCTCATGCTTCAACATTTCTGAAATCAGAATAATTGATGGAATCCTACAAGTGCCACTGGCCACTCTCCCTCCCCCCATCTCTGAAATCAGAATGACCCTTAGAATTATAGGAATTGTCAATTTAATGAGATACAAGATCACCTTTATTATCATTCCACAGTCCTCTCTGGGCCGTAGACCCTCATATCTGCTTCTCAGATTCCAGCCCCTCACCGTTGCTGCTACTCTGAGCGTCTAGCACTGTCCTAGACACCTCTACCCAGCCAGGACTCCGGAAACTCTAAGCTGAAGTGGAAGTCAACACGTCCTTTCCACCCTGAATGGACAACTTCACAATTGATGTCCCCCAAGCCCAGCAAACCTACACCCTGGATATCAATGACAGAGTTTATTAGGCAAAGTCCTTGCTTTGGAGTCAGGCCAGAGTTCGATTCTCACCTCTGCCACTTCCAAGCCGTGTGATTTTGGACAAGAGGCTTTACTTCTCTGTGCCCAAGTTTCTTCATCTGCAGAGTGAGTGGCTGGGAGAAGCGCCTTATGGGCCCAGTATTTGCCTAGTACTCTGAGAGCATCGTCTTATCGAATGCTCCCAACAATTCTTCCAGGGAAGGAGTGTAAATAATCTTCCCTCCATTTTCCAGATGAGGAAACTGAGGCTCAGGGAGGCAAACGGCCTAGTGTAAGAACACACGTTATTAAAATGCAGGGCAGGGATATGAATGATCTCAAGGTTTTGTGAGGCCCTTCTATAGTTTTTCACCTTTGTGACTTTAAACACTTTGAGGGGATGGAAACACCCTGAACTGCTGGGTTCCCTCTAGCCTGTTTGAAAACACTAAACAGAATTATCTCAAGGCTGAGAGGTCCTTCAACACTGCTAGTCCCCTAGAAGCAATTTACCTTTTCATTCCAGGTGGCCATTTTGCTGTCGCCTCTGGATCTGGAAAAGAAGAAACTGTTTGTCCAGGTCTGTCATCATGCTGTCATTTGTTTTAGTAATGTGGTATTGCAATATTTTCTTACAAATCATTTTTAACTTTCATAAATTAACAATGTCTGAAAAGAGTATAAGCTCAAAGTATATGCTGAAGGCCACACATCCTAGGTATAGACACAAAAGAACTGAAAAAAGGTGTTCAAACAGATACGTGCACATGCATGTTCATAGCAGCACAAAAGCCAAAAGGTGAAAATAACCCAAATGTCCATGAACAGAGAAACGAATACAGAAACTACGGTCTATCCATATGACGGAATCTTATTCAGCCAGAAAGAGAAATGAAGTCCTGATGCATGCTACAACATGGATGAACCTTGAAAACATGCTGAGTGAAATAAGCCAGACCCAAAGGTCATATATTGTTATGATTCCATTTATATGCTATATCTGGAATAGGAAAATCCATACTGAAAGTAGATTAGTGGTTGCCAAGGGCTAGGGCGTAGGGGGATGGGAAGTAACTGCTTAGTGGGTACGGGGTCTCCTCTGGGGGTGATGAAATGTTCTGGAACTAGACAGAGGTGGTGGTTGCATAAAATTGCGAACGTGCTAAATGCCACTCTAAAATGGTTAATTTTATGTTATGTAAATTTCATCTCTATTTTTTAAAAAAGATCGTACATTACAACATTGGCATTATTCTAAAAAGCAGCAAAGAATCTAAATGCCCACCAATGGGAATCTGGTTAAATCAATTAAGCTCATCTGAACAGTGATGACTCTAGTACTGCTAAAAGGCTGATATTAAATCTTCATATGTGAATGTGGAAAGATGTCAATAATAGAGTAAGCCAAAAAAAAAAAATCACGTTCCAATGTGGTCTGTATAGTACGAGCCTATCTATGTTAAAAAATTACATATGAAAACTTCTAGAGTTAACAGAGGAATTTAGCAGAGTTGCAGGCTACAAGGTCAACAAACAAAAATCAGTTGGGTTTCTATACACCGACAATGAGAAAATTGAAAAGGGAAATTAGGGGAACAATTCCATTTACAATAGCATCTAAGAGAATACAATACCTAGGAATAAATCTAATCAGGGATGTGAAGGACTTAGACAATAAAAACTATAAAACACTGCTGGAAGAGATTAAAGAAGACTTAAATGGGAAGATGTTCCATGTTCTTGGATTGGAAGACTTAATATTGTTGAGATGTCAATACTACCCAAGGTGGTCTATAGATTCAATGCAATCCTGATCAAAATTCCAACAGTCCTCTTTACAGAAATAGAAAACCAATCCTCAACTTTATATGGAAAGGCAAAAGGCCCCGAGTAGCTAAAATAACGTTGAAAGAAAAGAACAAAGTAGGAGGACTCATACTTCCTGATTTTAAAACATATTATACAGCAACAGTAATCAAAACAGCCTGGTACTGGCATAACAACAGATGCATAGACTAATGGAACAGAATTGGGAGTCCAGAAATAAACCCACACATCTATGGTCAACTAATTCTTGACAAGGGTGCTAAGTCCATTCGATCGGTAAAGAAGAGTCTCTTCAATAAAAGGTGCTGGGAAAACTGAAGTTCCACATGCAGAAAAATGAAACAGGATCCATGCCTCCTACCATACACAAAAACGAATTCAAAATGGATTAAGGACCTAAATGTGCAAACTAAAACCATAAAATTCTTAGAAGAACAAGCAGGGTCAGTGGTGTCAGGTTTAGCTTTCAACAATGGATTATCTAATATAATAACAAAAGTACAAGCAGCAAAAGACAAAAGAAATAAATGGACAACAACAGCAAAACAACAGAAAGACAAATAACTCAATCATAAAATGAGCAAAGGAACTGAATAGATATTTCACCAAAGAGGACATTCAAATGGCCACCAAACACATGAAAAGATGCTCAGTATCATTAGCCATCAGAGAGATGTAAATCAAAACCACAATGAGATACCATTTCACTCCCATTAGGATGGCTAAGATTTAAAAAAAAAAAA